ACATGATCTACATATTCTATTAAATACTTGACACTTTAAAAAAAATTGAAAATCATTCACAATTAGCTACAGTGGCATCTGTATCTGTGGCATCAGTGTATCTCATTTAGATAACATTTTTCAGAAATTATGTTCGATTTATGTGTGTCCATAACGTCTTTCGAATTATATTTGATATCATAGATACAATATATTTGAATTCGCCCATTAAATCCATTCATAGCTCACTTTTCGGTCCCATTTAAAATTATGTTAATCTTGTTCGATTCACTTCGAATAGCTGATCGCATTGATAAGCTTTTCAGGTTCATTAAAGTAGCTGTTGGTGGCGGTGGTGCAGCTGCTGCTTTGTGGTGGTTCTCGCTATGATGACCTGTGGCAGTGGTGCCGCTCACTCAGTCTGCCTCTCTCTCTATCTCTACTTACGTCTGTCTCTGTCTCTGCGCCTGCAATTCATCAGCTGAATTGTGCCACCAACAAAGTACTGGATACTGAATGGCACATTTGCCCATTCAAATGGCAATTAAGTTGCCCGCAAATCGTGAACTTGTGAACCACAGCTAAGGCCTCAATCACAGGCACAGTCGTAGTGCCGTCGCAGTCGCAGTCGCAGACACAGCCAAAGGCAAAGCCATGGCCAATACACATCATCAAGCAGGCTGAAAGGAAGTCTGCGCAGTTTCCTTAGCTCATTTCCATTTGGCAAGTCGCGTTCGCGCTCTGCAATTAATCGCCGCTCAACTGGCGCACTGATTGCAATTAATCTTCATTAAAGCGACGGCAATCAGCGAGGCAGCTGAGTGGGGCGTGGCAGCGTGTCCTTTGGCCCAAAGTGTTTGACATGGCGAGGCGAAGCACGCTTAGAAATCCTTACAAACCAATTTGGTGATCATTCGTGAGCTGCTGTCAGCAAACCGACGCCACCAACACCACCAACATCATCAGCACCACCAGCAGAAGCAACAAAAACAACAACAACAACAACAGCAAGGTCCAGGTGACCGCACTGCAATCACCTTAATTAAACATTAGGCAAGCCTCACTGCCCGGGAGGGAGCGAGCTGGAAGTCGTCGAAGCTGGGAGCTGTGCCCATGGTGTGGTCCATGTCAGCGATTTCCGTTGCACAAGGCGCAAAGGTTGCCACAGTCTCCATTGTCGCCTTAATTATACTGTGTATGTCAAGGGGGCTAAGCGAGGGTAGTACGAATGCTTCGAAATCACGATCGATGTATTTGGTTGTTCGATATAAATCGAGAGCAGAGGCATCGATTCGGTAACTCATGTTAACTTGAGTTGTTTTTAATTAATTAATTCAGCATATCCTTTAATAAATTAATTATTCAAGTAAAACCTTTAATTAGTTTGTGTACTTGAAACCTGAACATGCAGCTCCACTTATTTATGCCGTGTGTTTACAGAGTATTTTGTAGTCGCTCACAGCTGCCCGAGGCACTCGCGTTTTCTTGCAGTTTTCTTGACTGCAGCATCGTGTTGCTGCCAGTCGCTGTTGCTGCTGTCTCTGTTGTTGTTGCTGCTGCAGCGGTGCCAACGTCGTTGACAAACGCTGAAAGGCTTTGTGTGTGATTTTCATTGGAAACGATCACCCAGCTTGATTTTCATATAACTATATGTATACACACAGTCCATATATATGTATGTACATGTATAGAGTGCATAGCATATACGAAACGGGTCACGTTATTAATTGGTATACCTTTGTACAAACAGAGAGCGAGAGAGAGAGAGAGAGAGAGAGAGAGAGAGCGAGGCTGAGAGATTTATGAATATTGATTGCAAGTGAAGTGCAGCTGAATGTGCAAACACTGTGGCCATGGCCTGTCTCTCAGTGCCGCCGTCCGTCTGTCCGGAGGCCTCTCTGTCGGTTGTCTCAGATTGAGTCAGCTTCCTGTCGATTAGGGTCACTCAGCTGTGTGGCTACTGTAGTTGCAATTGCTGCTGCTGCTGTTGCTGTTTCTCTTGCTGATCGGTCAGCCGGGGTCATTTCCTGGCTAATTAACTTTGCCATGAGAGAGATTTTATTTGATATTTGTATTATGATTTATTCTTCTTCTTGTTATTTTTTGCTATGCTTCGGCAATTAAACGCCGTCGCTTATTTACGATATTAATTAATTAAGACAATTTGTGTGCATCTTGGGAATCCGAGCAGTTGAAATTGCATTTGGTCTGCTGGTCGTTTGCGTGATCGTTCTCAAAAGGGGTTTGGCTTCATTTAAATCGCAATCAGAATTCTAACCATACGCAGCATCAGCTTAATCACAATCTTGATACGAATTTTTTTTTTTTTGACGCATACTGATATTTTGGAGAAATTTTGCCCTCTTAACAAATTCTATTAGCTCTAAGACTTATACGAGTATAGAGACAGGGTGTAATTATATTTTTAATTGAAAGAGATATTTTTTTACATCTATGAAAATTATTCATATGATATATTAACTAATAATCCTTCATTGGTTTTCCTTTGGCCAAAAATAAGGACTCATGATAGACTTTAAACTAAATAAATTACGTCATCAACGTCATCCAAGACTCTCCTATCAAACTGAACACAAACCACTTTCATCTGAAATTCACTAAAAAGAACCCAACTTCCACAATATCCTCGCGAAGTCCTTTTACTCGTCCACAGTCCCATAGTAGTTTCATAATGAAATGAGATCTAATATATATTGTGATATCCAATCTTTAAATTAGGCATTAGCAAATTAGTTGTAAATAATTCCACGGTTCTATGTGAAGGTCATATTGTGGACAGCCGTGGGTACGATCTATCCACGATAAGAAGAGCGCAAAGTCGGTGCCAAACATTGACACACTTTGGGTGGTCTTGACGCTGGGGCTACATTTTGGCAAAGCGAACCTAAGCCAGACGAATAATCGATGGAACGTGGGACGATGACGACGTCGCATGCATTCGAAATTGGCATTGGATATCGGGGGCAGGGAGCGGGCCTCGTCCGCAGGCAAGCCAACACCTGTTGCCCATTGCCATGGTAGAAAAAAAACAGGGTAAAAATGTTGCAATCGGGCGTAACAGACTTCATAATGCGCGTTCGTTATTTTCTTTTGCAAACAAAGATCATGCGAGTTTATAAGAAGATGCGGTTAGAGTAAATTTGCAGGAAACTAACATGCTCTTCTTTATTTCCTGAGCAGCGCTTCGGGGAAAGAAAAACAAATCGAAAGGGCGCTGCATCATTTGGCCGAATTCAATTTCAAGTTTTTGGCAACGTTTCAAAAGAGTTGTCGACTCTATGAGAAGCAGACGCGTGGCGCCTTAGGCCAAGCGAGCGAGTTGCATCAAAGTGCGCCAAAAGTGTATATTTATTGAGCTATTACAGAGAGACAGAAGAGGAGGAGGACAATGGGGATGGGGGACTGAGTCTCCAGTGTGAGAGGGAAACACCTTAGCTGTCATCTCATTCACAGATTAATTTTTTCTGGCAATTTATAGCTCGCACTGATAGCTTGAACGAACGGCTTGCCAGAGCGACAGCAAATTTATATTTATTGTATACACATTTTTTGCAACTTTTCCTTCTTCGCGCATTAAGTACATTTATTTACACATTAGGTTTTTGCTGGACGATTCGATTAATCTCCCCTCGCTCAATCTGAGCTGCGTGTTTTGGGAGTGGTTGGGGCTTGGAGGAGGACTCACCTGTTCCATTGCTACCAAACCAAAGGGCCACGAGGTCCTCGCTTGGCGGCGTGTGGTGATAGTGATTGCCGTATAAGTAGGGGCTCGGATAGTCGAGGAGAACGCGACGCGAGGCAGGCGAGGATGTCTCAGCTGCGCAAGAAAGAAGAAGAGCGGGAGGGGCATCAGTGCCTATGCACCACCGGCCATGGAGTGGCTTCACTTACCCTGCGCTAATTGAGCGGCATATTCCGATGCCTTCTGCAAATTGATGCGCGGTCGCGGCTTGGCGAGTTGCTGCTGGTTCAGTTGCTGCTGCTGGTGCTGCTGCTGGTGCTCGTGCAATTGCTGCTGCTGCTGCTGGTGGTGGTGGTGGTGGTGGTTGTCGGGGAGTGGGTGGGCAGCCGCTGCTGCAGCCGCGGACGAGTCTAGCAGCAACTGTTGCACTTGCAGAATATCCACGTACTCGTCAAGCTCCACCGAGTGGCCAGCAGAGTCCTTGCCAGCAGGAGTCGGCGCGTGGTGCAGGTAACTGGGCGCGGGCACGCTGGCCGCAACTGAGCTGGTGGTGCTGTTGTAGTAGCCGAAGGCGGGCGCCGAGGCGGGCACTGCAATGGGCGGCGGTGCGGGTGGTGCAGCAAAGGACTGAAGCGGATTGCGGATGAGGGGCGTCGTGGGCGTGTTCAGGGAGTCCTGTGCTGCGACTGGACTAGTGGGCACCAGGCTCAAGCCGGGGGTGGCCGACTGACTAGCCGTGGGCGGCGAGGGCGTGGCTGGGGCTGTCGTCGTTGAATGCTGCTGGCTGCTTATCACTTCATTCTGTCGCCTCATTGTCAGCAACATCTTCGAGACCACGCGCGTTTGCAACGAGCGAAGAGCGAAACGAAATGAATGAAACTGAGGGGGATTCGAGGACGAAACGAAAACCGAACGGAAAACAAAAAATAAAATGCACTAAAAGCACAGCTGACTCCATTTGTTTACTAAGCATTCACCTTTAATTATTAATTACAGCTAAACTAGCTCAAGCATTTTTGTTGTTTTTTGCAAGCTGAGCGATTTTTTGTAGAGTTTTCACACTTGTTTTTCACTTGATTGAATTAAATTTGATTGATTGATTTATTTATTTATTTTTTTTTTTGTCATCAAATCAGTCTTTAGTTAGATTGGCATTTCTTTAAATAATTGATTAGCCGTTGCTGAGATCTGAAATCGAAAATGAAATAGAAAATGATTCAATGAAGATATTATCTTTGCATGATGTATTTATATTATTTATCTAGACGCTCAAGGGACCAAGGGAGAACATGCTATTTAAGTTTGTCTGCGGACCAGAATATTCGTCACAATAACCCATGGACGGTAACCCATGGACGGTATAGCATAACAACCTTTGTTGAGCGGTGTGGCACCCTGGTTGCACAATCTGAACAGGATGGCAACTCCAGTTCAAGAAGAAGAAGACAGTTTACGAGCAACTTTGGGTCAACCCGTACACGTATGCATTACAGGGTCATACATGTTCTATTGTATATCTTTTGGATCTTGTATCAATTATAGCATTACAAGTTTTTCTCGGAATTCATCTGGGCTTATTGTCTAATACAATTTCAAGAATTCGTACTGATCCACTTCCCTTAATACCATTGTAATAATCATTATATTATTACTTTTCTATATTAGCATGAACTTATAATATTCGAATATATTTGAAGGAAAATGCTAAATTATTCAATGATTATTGATTTCATATTTACATATTCTTTATGGCTTGAACTCATTGAAAATGAAAATCATTTATGAATGTAATGCATTTTAAGGCAGAGTTCCTTAATCAGTTAGGTTCTTTCTTTAAATAGGTTATATCCTGATATATTTTCTTTTTGTTTTTTCTCAATACTTGTTGCTAAATTAAAATTGTTTAAGTATTTTATTATACAATATATTAAGTTTAATATAAATTTAATGTATTGTATTTATATTTATTATGTAGTTAAATATTTCTTTCAATTTATTACAGTATAATTCTTGCTCCAATATTCCAAATGCCCTCAATTCATTTCAATTTATTATGAAAATATTGTAAAATTCTTAATATATCTGAATGTGAATGTAAGATTATTCAATACAAATTTTTTGTTATAATATTTGCATACTTTTGTTCGGTTTTTCCGATTGCTTTATTCTACATATTATGGGAACGCCGTAAATTTATATAGTTACCTTTCTCCTGAAAGTCTGAAGTCTGACCTGCAACATATTTTCGAGTTCTTGCACTAATATAAATTTCTCTATTCATGCTGTACATAATAGAGGTAAAAAATTTCAATTGAGCCGCAAGTTGCACTAAGTTTACCTAAGCATTTCATAAATTCTATAAAATTGATCATCAAAAATTTGTAAATTGCAAATATATGTATATGCATTAACCGATGATAAATATTTTGAATAAAAAACTGTCTTTCGATTTGTGGAAGTGCCGACGGAAGTTACACTATTATTATTTTTTTTTCTTTTTTCTTTTCTTTTTTTAAGGTGAGCGCACAAAATTTTCGGCACACAAATTTGTTTAATATATACATATATGGTTTGTTATATGCGATATGCAAAACTTAGAAATTTTTTATTGCGTAGGCAAAACGTTTTTTCGAATTTTCTTGTTTGTTGACGGCGCGTCGCGGGTGGCAAAGTGAAATGGAAAGCAGCCGAGACGAGCTGCTGAGCCGTCAATGCGCTACTGACGCGCGCGAGCAGTGGAAATTGAAAATGAAAATGGAAAACTCGACAACGGTGAAAAGTCGTATCAGCAACAGCAACAACAACAACAGCTGCAAAAGCGGCAAATCGGCTGCGTCGGCGCCAACATCGGCAAACGAAACGAAATGCCCGAAAAGTGTTTGCGTCTCGTCATCAACGAGAGCAGTAAAAACAACAGCAACAAGAACAACAACAACTACAGCAGCGAAAATATGAGTAAAATTTGTATCAGTGTAATTGTTGTTTTTGTTTCGTCATATTATCACATATAAAGCTTTGTATTTTCTTTAATACTCAATGGCGAACCGAGCAGCTCTTCTCCTGTTCGCTTTTTCTCTCTTTCTCTCTCTCTCTCTCTCTCTCTCTTTGCGATGTGAGTGAAAAACCGGCATTTCCTATTTGTTGTTGCAATAGGCGACGCGGCGGCAGCTCCTGTCTTGCCAGCAGCCGTGTGGGCGAGCGTGGGAGGAGAGAGAGAGAGAGAGAGAGAGAGAGAGAGAGTGGGATAGAGAGCGGACCTGAGAGTGAGATGTGAGAGTGTCAGAAGATAAAGAGGCCCAACACAAATTGTCAACGCATTGGACTCGTAGCTAATTAATTGAGCTAGCGATAGGCTCTGTCTCTCTCTCTCTCTCCCTTTCTCCCCTTCAGCATTTCGATTCCTTTACCTACGCAATACTACAATAGATTAGGGCACACAGATATTACGAAAAAATATATATACATATCACGTCGTTTGTTGTTTAACTATTGACAATTGCTTTTACTTTTCAAGCCACTTGAAACATTAACTGATAGTTTCCAATTATGCCAATGCTTGACATATTTGTGGGGCATTTGTCTTATCAGCCCATGGGGCGTATGACTAATGTTTCAAATTAGCTGTACGTGTGTATATAAGCAACAGGTTGGTGTCCTCTCACATTATGCATTTTATTAATAGTTTGAGTAATTAAAAATGAGATATAAATAAGCTAGCCAAAAAATTGTGAATTTCGAAATGAAGAGAATGAAACATGTTTGATAATCGTTTTGCTCCACCTGCATCAAATGCCAAGCAAATGCTATGCATGAGAGCTGCCCACCTTTCATATTTAGTCGAATATTTTGACATTTAGCAGCTGCCCTTTAGCTAAGTCCCTAATTCCGCGAAAGGCAAGCGCCTAAAATGTGAACTAAAACAAACTCTCTCACCCACAACTAGAGCAACAGATAGATAGAGAGAGTAAGAGAGAGTGAGTGGGAGAGAGAGAGAGCAACAACTATAGCAACGGCAGCAGCAACAAGCAATTAGAGTTGCAGGCAATGCCAGAAAGGCAAAAAAAAAAAAGAGAGTGGAAGAAGAAACAAAAACAAAAAGAACCCACATCCTATTTGACATTTAAAGGTCAAAGTTGAGCATCAATCAAAACGCGACGAGAATGCGAATGGAAACGAGAATGAGATATGAGGCGCCCAAAACGAAAACAACGACACGTAGCAAAAACAGCAACAGCAACAACAACATATCATATCACAACAATCGGAAGAGGAGGCAGGTGAAGCAGGGCCGGAGGAGAGGAATATTGTCCAAACATTAGGGATAACAGGAGAAATAAATATTATGCTGGAATTTGAACATGTTAATTCACGACTGACAGACTGACTGACGGACTGACGGACTGACGGACAGACTGACTGACTGACTAACTAGCTAAATGTTACTGTGGGCGTGGCCAAATATTTTGTTTTCCTTTTCAAAGGAATTTCAGTTGAACTCCTTGAAGCCAACGGTGAGTGGGCGGGCATAGCAAAACTGTGCCTGCCCATGTTGCTAATAGATGCGATTAAACGCCCACACTTTCACGATAATTGAGAGCGTACTCCCAGAGAACAATGTTCCAGAAAAGATAAATGTACGACGAATACCCTGGAATGTTCTACACCATGCGATATTTATAGGCTCTGTCAGTCTATGAGCAGCTCAAGCTGAACTATCGCAGAGCTGCCGCCAACCCATCAGAGTCCGCGCTAAAATCTACTTAAAGCCCCAATGGGTCCACTTCATTAGCCTTAGTCTATGCCACAGTCTACTACTCGAGTTCATTCCTAACTAAAGCGTAGACATGGAAACCTTCCGATGGCCCGCAGCAAACGAGAGGTGGATTTAGTTGTGTGATGGACTAGTTGGTACCCTGTAACATCATGCATTTGATAATCTACATGCTATGGATTTTTAATTAGCAATTTAGTAATAATTATATAAATACATAATAATGAAATGTTTCTGTAAACTTGCAAAATTACTCTTGTCAATATAGAGAGAGAACCTAACTCTAGCTACATTTCGAACCAGAGCAGATTCTTATAGCTAGATTAGTCTTCTCTCTTCAAGTTGATTCAAGTCGACATTTGTATTTATTGTTATAAGCCGAATTAATTTAATGTATTTGTAGGCATAACAAAACAAAGGCTTGCACGCATTCTGCTTGGCTTTTGAGCCAGCGAGAAGCTGCGATAGAACTTGCAGGCCTTTCAGTTGGATACACACACACACACACACACACACACATACATACATACATACATACATACACACACACACACACACACACACGCAATGCTGTATATGTGGATAGCACTTTGCCCTTTGCAGTTGCTGCTTGCCTGGCACGTGTGTGGGCTGGTCCTGCTACTGTGTGTGTGTGTGTGTGTGAGTGTGTGAGTATGTGTTGCTATGACAGCCACTGCTTGAGCTGGCTGGGAGAGCGAGTCGAACCCAGAGCTAGCGCTGGAGCTGGGTCTGGGGCTGGGGCCTGAGCAGGAGGCGGCAGCTGCGCAACTAGTGTTGCCCCAAAATGGCGGCAAATATTGCCATGAATCGAACAAGTGTCTGGGATGAATGAATTGCAGCCATCAATGAACAAAAGCTCGCGTGACGTCACACGGAAAAGTTGTTTCAACTTTCAACTTCACGCAGCAGCTTCATTGAGCAGGGAGCGTGCTTTGGCCGAGTGCCTCAACTTTGATATTTGTCGAAACTTTTACACACACACACGCACACATGCGTTTTTATAAACACATATTCGTTTCTACTCTTACTCTGAATGGTTCGCTGCAGCTGGCTGCAAGCAGAGTCTAGCGAATTCTCGACATAATTGTCAGCCGAAGCGAAAATATATGCTTTAATTAGCCACTTCTGCTCGTGCCCTTCGTGCTTCTCGTGCTATTGCAATTTTGACCTTTACTCCACGCACCA